GAGGTGGTGGATGCCCCATCCCTGGAAACATTCCAGGTCAGGCTGGACGGGGCTCTGAGCAACCTGATCTAGTTGAAGATGTCCCTGGCCACGGCACAGGGGGTTGGACTAGATGACCTTTAGAGGTCCCTTCCAACCCAAACTAGTCTATGATTCTATGATTGTGGACTCAAAATTACCAGTTGATGAAAGCCCAATGCTGTGTAACACTTACAATACAAAATTTCTTCTGCCCTGAATAAATTTGCATAATTGACAGAATTTAGATTGGCTCAATTACTTAAACAGAAATGTACTCTTCTGATGCATTTCATCATTTAGAGCCATACTGACAGTATGCTGATGGCATAAAAATATATCTGTTCAAAATTAACTATGTACTAACATTTCCTTTAGACTGAATTTTAACCCCTTCCCTCTCTCTCTTTCTGGAACTGTATTTCCATTAGCAAAGGAAATGTTCTTCTGATAATAAGCTAATACCAATGGCCTGGCTGTTAAAATTATTTCAGTTTAATTTAAACTCACCAGCATTTTCCTTGGAGCATGGCATCAATTACAATTAATTCACTCATCAATAACCAATTAAAGGCACATGATATAATATACTTCACTGTAGAAAAAAGTGGTACCAGTAGTCATGTGAAAATACAGATTACATTTTAAACTAGAATATAAACTGACAGGAAACGTGTTCACTCTTTCTGTTAAGGCCACTAGGGAATTAGGAGAAATACTATCCTATTTCTAGAGGACTGGGGAGAAGAAATATTCTAACATTTTTCTTTTAACTTGGCAATTATTAGTACGTACTTTTTACAACAGCAATCCATTAATGCAGGAAAAAAAGCAGCACAGTTCTAACAAAAAGAAGTCGGAAAAACCCCACAATTTCTTCAACTTTGTAAGTACAACTTGAAAATATACGGAAAAAGTTTAGATTAGCATAGTAAATGAGCCACTGAAATAACTAATATTTTAGTGATATGTATCATACATTGTGCATTGAATTATTAGCTTGAGTTTGTTAACATTTTTTTGTGTAATTCACATGCTTTTTGTACTTCAAATTTACTCTGTATTGTAATGCATGCAGTAAAGCACAAATTCATTATGGTTTTAGTATCTTGGTTTATTTTTGCCATGGTTTTGCTACACGTGGCAGCTATCAATGCATAGTTGGAAATATCAATTAATTTGAAATGTACATGAAATACTGGTAAGGAATTGTGAGGCAATTCATTTGTAATAGGCAGGTATATCTCCTAGGTGACATGTGCTGAAACAAATATTTAACTTCTTTGTTCTCTAATTTGGCTACCCACAAATTACAGCATTACATGCAACGTGTCAGTTTACCTTGAAAAGCTGTCAATGGCCTGAGCTAACGTAGCCTAAATGTCAGGATGAGGTGTGAGACTGCCATGTCTGTTTAGAGGGAGAGAGAAAGAAGTCACCTGTCGCAAGCGCTTGCTACTTCCCTTAATGCTTTTCTAAGGGGTCTTCATCTATTGCTGTGGTAGAACTGGTATAAGAACACAACCAGAAAAATAATATTTTGAAATACAGCTGAAAATTATTGTAAAAAACCCCACAAGAATCGCTAGAAATACAGAGAATGAAAATACGTGTTTTTAAACTACTGACGATGTACCCATTAACTGATCCTTAAACATAGCTAGAACAGTACAGTACCCATCTTAAGGACTGTTGGTGGATATATAGTTACCAAAAATGCTACAGCTACAATTTAAAAATCAGAAAGTGTAATTCTCCACTTTGTTCCTTTACACATTTCCCTTTGCAACAAATCTGGATAAAGCACAAAATTTTACAAATTCTATACCATGAAACAAGAATACAGAAAATTTTCTACATGGATTTAAGTGTTCACTTCTTGCACAAAATATACTCATTTTTAGCATTTCATAGCCTGTAATTTAATATACAGGTTAGAAGTAAATGAACGAGCAACGCTCCTCCTTTACTAAACCATCATGCCTTTGGATAAAAGACAGTTCCTGCTCTGAGGGCTCTAGAGCAAGACATTTCTGATGTTGTTTCTGGGAAACTTTTACATACTATAAAAGACAGAAATCCACAGTATGAGGATAATCCTTTAAGGAATGTCCTGCTTTTCCAACCTTCTTTCCAAGAAAAAACCTTTTATTCATTTTATAATAAAGGCTAAACAGGCCCACTGCACTGTCAGACAAGTTTCCATAAGCAGAGATTTTTAACATGAAGAACAAATAGGGCAGAGACTTCTTTTTGTGGGAAGGCACATTTTGAAAGGGTGAAATACTTTCCATAATTAGCTTAGTGTGCTGCAGAGAGCCTTTAGTACTTTGCAGCCAGAGGTCTCTGGTACCCATTAAGCCAGCCATCCCAGTTAGTATTTTCTGTAATTTTTTTGTACTTCATACTAATATACATTTACTAACATAAATGTAGCATGAACACATCACCTAATCTTTGCACCCTTTGATAACTTAAGTTCAGCACATCCTACCCTATATATGCTCTTCCATAAAAATAATCCCTTTTGAGAGCTATTAATCACAAACTGGAATAATTAAGGCCCTGTCTCCTTAATGGGCAATGGAGTTCAATGAATAAAAAAATAACAAAACAATTATTAATAGACATTTCTCAGCTTGTACACTGTAAACTAGGTAAGAGCTTAATTTTTACTTTGGGACTTTTTCTGAGAAATTTCTGTAAATGAATACTGTTACTTTGAATAGTCCACAGTACAAATTAATACATTATGAACCTACCACATAATAGCATTTTTCCTTAAGGAACTTATTTATGAAGAAATTTCTATTTCTGTATAATAATAATAATGCATTTTATTTTACAGTAATAAGGATGATATTGCACTTAATGGATGTCCTCACTTCCTCTCTTCCAATTCTCTCCCCCATCCCACCAGGGCAGGGGAGAGGAGTGAGCGAGCGGGCGGCTGTGTGGTACTCAGTTGCCGACTGAAGTTAAACCACAACAATGGAAAATGCTGTTTACGAGTACAGTAGTAAGGTCTTTAAGCAAAGTCACATGTCGAGTAATTTTGATTTTTTTTTATATCTTCTGCAATCTTCCCTAAAGCTTATGTTTTACTGTAATAAATGTTTGCCTTAAATATTTACAAAAATTCCTTAGTTCCAAATTAAATAATATTCGTAATTAGTATATTTTTAAAAATAAACAATTTGGCCAACACACATAATACTGTAACTGCCTTCTCCTTTATAACCACAAATAACAGTTAGCAAACTGAGTACCAAGCAACTACAGAGGAATAGAATTTAGCAGAAACACTATATGATAGCAGTGTTCAAAGAAGTGCAGATACACAGTTGCACATTGTGAAATACAAACGGCATTTCTTTTAAAACAGTTGAATACAAGAGTCCAGCAGAAAAGCAAATAAATTCAAAAGGCTAACTGATGTTTTTTAGAAGAGCCATACACTACTAAATTCTCACTAATACTTAGCATTTATATAGTACTTTACATTTTTGAAGTGCTATACAAATGCTATCTAGATGAAGTGTATTATCTAAAGGCAGAATACAAATCCAAAGTGAACGGTGATCAGATGAACGGCACCATGACAGTAAAATGTAATGTAATTACTACAGAGAGAGACAAAGTACTTTATAAATCAGCTAGCTATGCATGAACTATAATGGAAGACCACATATTTTACAAGGGGAATGTATAGATATAAAATTATTACCATTCATTAAACAGGTTTCTATGACCACAAGGAATTGACACAGGAGCTGTAACTGGCTCCACAGGCTTAAAATGCCTAACTCAGAAGTCGTAGGAAACATAAGGAAACCACTTCAGTGATAAACAGACAGCTTATTTCAAGTGCTAATACAACCAACCTTTAAGAGCCACCATTCTTATACATCAATGCGGATTCCATGTTTTATAGACATTAATTCTCTAGTGCCTGTTAAATACATAATAAATGAACATAGATGAGGTAAAGATGCTGTAATTGTCACATACAGCCAATATGGCAAAGGAGGAGTTTTTCCAAACGGGCAGATCCAAAGGCCATGACGAATCCCGTCACGGACGTGATGAGAAGTCCAAGATATGAACAACATCCAGGGAAGAAAGCACCATGAATCCTTAAGCCTGAAAAGGTGCATAATAAACTTTAATGTCAGAGCCACAACAGGAATCACAGTAGAACAATGAAGAAGTGGTCTCTGTGGAAGAGTCAGAGCAGCCTGCAGAAAAGAAAAATATAATTGGCAATGGCTACAATTGTGATAAAAAAAAGAAATGTTTCATGGATGTTTACAGGTGTATTATCAAGTGGCTAAGTGGAAGTGCAAAGAAAAACATACTGTTCCTTTCCACTGCTGTTGATCAAAATCAACAATATGACTATTTAGACGTATGAGAGCTGTGTGCTGCCCTGTCAGTAGCAGGGCTGAGGGTGCTGGGACAGGCTTTTCTCCCTCTATTGTATGATATGAATCACGCATCCTACGAAGCATTGCTGATGGCAAAACAGGGAGGGAGAGGGATGAGGTATGCTATTTGTCATATAGTCATGTGGTATACAGGAACTTGTATAGTCTGCTGCACTGATTATATGTATTTAATTTCAAGATAATTAACAGGAAAACAACCATTCAATACACTTGAAATATTTCATATGCTTTACTGGAAATATTTCATATGCTTTAATGGCATTTATTTTCAAGAATACATCCTGCATTATACTACAGTTCGTACCCGTGAAGTTGTTTTAGTTGGACAATATCTAAAACAGAACAGTAATTTCCAATACAACAAAAATATGATCTGTTACATGTATTTTCATTGCCTTGACACAGTATTCTTTATGGACCAGCAAAAGATAAGTTCAGAAGCCAACATCCAAGTCATTCGTGACTGGGGTTTTTATATCAACAACTTGTTTAACATTAACTCAGTTGAAAACCTGATATTTGGTTTTAATTAAGGTGAATGTCTAGCTAGTAAGATAAAATTTAGCTGTTTTAAGAAGTTATAATTATCAATTTAATATACATACTTGAGAAAATATTCCGGACGTACTTACTAGCAACAGCTAGAACTATCTCCACAAATTCAAAGATAGTAAAAAAAATTAAATAATAATATTTTGGATTTCTAAGTAACAAATAAGTAGATTCTTGTTTCTGTAAGCACAGGAGAAATGATAGTACATTACTAAAAGATCTATACAGGTGCTGATGTAATATTAATTGGCTCAATTCAGATACTGCTGAACAGTTGGAAAGACTGTAACAGGCACCAGAGATGTACTCTTTGCACATGACAGTGCATCTGATTGTTACGTTGAACATATACCTCACTGCATCTGCTGCAGAAAGCAAACAAAGCATCGCTACAAGATACCAGCCAGTAACCTGTTAATGCTTCAGTTGTGTTAATTGTTGCAGGATTCAACAGCTACGGTACCTGACAGTGAGACTCTGGAATAACCTCATCAAGTTTTCATGGATAATTTAGACAACTGCTTGGAACCCTGACTTCTCTGTAAAGAAACTTTGATGTAGCCTTAGCCAAGAAATACAGAGATGGAAACATAGGGGCTACCTCGGAATATAATAGCCTGTGCTTTAAATCAAAGCCAACGTTAAAAGTCTTGCAGAAAGCTTTGCTCTATTAGCTTCCCACCACATGCTTGTCCATTACTCTCTTAATCAGGTGACGGGATTAAAAACCTCACAAACTGTCTCAACAACTTTTAACTGTAATGATATGGACCCAACTCCTTAAAGTTGGTGCAAAAGGTGTATTTTCTACAACTTCATTTCTGTTTCATACAAGCAGATTGTTCACGGATTAAAGTAGAAAAATCTTGTGATGGCAAAATTGTTTATCACCTACCCTACAAAGATAGATTTTTGTTACTGTCAGCAAGAGCCTAAGAAGTCCATACTAGCCTAATTTTGAAAAACCACCCTGGATGGTGACACATTTTGGCAGATATCCTATCGACTGGTCACTATTTCGGCACTTTGAAAAAATCAGTGGCAAAGTCTAAATGAGTCTTTTCTCTCTGCCCTGTGGAGGTTAGGTGCCAACAGCAACACAGTGAGTAAGGAGAAGCTGAATGTTTATTATGTATGCAATACATCAGTATTAGTGCCAATCTTTATCCAGTTTTGGGGAAGTGATTCTTAAATTTTTTTCATGCAGAATTTTAGATGGCAGGGTTGTTCATACAGCAAACCTGAGTGCTCAGTTTTATCAAGAGAAAACCCTATTCTGTAATTGCAGTACAGTTATTAGGCTTCTGAAATACTCTTGCCCAAGTTCTGAGAGAAGAATAGTCTGTTTTCTCTTTCACATTCTGTAACTAGAGGAACATTTCAGTCCTTGAGCTGCCAAGCCCAAGAGACAGACACGTAGTTCTATTTGGCAATATAAGCTGTTATACTCTTTCTCCTAACAGGCAAGTTTTTTCACCTTTAGAAATCACCAGATCTTAAAAAAAAAAATAATAGTACAAGCCTTTTCTGCCTTAAACCTCCTGAAAAAAGATCATCACGTTTGGGTAGATTTAGGGGGATGTGAGAGATCAGGCTGCAGTTGCAAACAGAATTTATTCACAACACAAATTACCTTTTTCATTTGCCTACGTGTTCAATCAGGTGCAAGATCTTCTTGAAGTTCCTGCTCCTCCAGCCCCTCTCACACACTACAATGAGCAGCTGGAAACAGGAGACAACAATCGCATGCAGGAGAACCCAAGCAAACTCTTTGCTTTAATGCTCAAAGAGACATCATGGAATTTATGTAACAACATGGGCTCCCTCACTCATATTCTGTGATGAACAAGACTGAAGTCCTTAGTTTTGAGGCTGATCTATAAGTTCAATGTTAAATTAATTGTGTGTATGCAAAGCTTACTCTCCAATTCCAGAAATGCTCCTGTGCAGCCCAGGTTGGTCAGCAGTGGCACATTAACCAGCTCTGTTATGTATGTTTGCCACCAATCGCATTCTCTACACTTTTAGAAGCTGGTAAGTCTTAAGTAGCAAGCTAGCGATTTCTGCACATCTGTTCTGCAACATGAGTGAGTGGGCTACAATCCTGGGGGACACTTCTCATTGAAGTCACACCTGTATCACATTTAGCCCATCATGCTGCTCTTGTTTATCAGTAATGCTGAGTATGACGGCAGGCTGCAGTAACTTTCACCTTTAGAGCTAGTCAGTAAGACAGATTCTTCAAACGCCAATTCTGAGATTATTCTACACTTGTGTGCATATAATACACAGTAAAAACTACCTGGAATACACAGAACTACAAATTCTAAGTAGTAAAGTCTTTGTAGACTTTATACTTGTTGCAAAAATAATGTGGGCGAAAGGGCAGATCACATGCTACTTGGTACACAAGTATTTATCAGAGTAAACATATAAATACCACAGGTGACTATTTACCCTGAATACTCCAGCAAAATAATGATGACACCATGAAAAACAGCCCAATAGCCAAATAATCCAAGCAGCAAGCTGTGTCAGCAGGAACAGGAGTAGATGACTGGAGTAGTGTGAAGGTAGCAACTGGAGGTAGAAAGCAATACTGCCTTGTGCTGTGTAGAAGCATCATCAGATGCTTCATCAACAGATTTAAGAGTGATGATGAAGAGCTTTATAGATTATTGTGTAGAGTAATGTGAAAAATACTACTGTTACAAATTAGTAATAGTGGTGCGGGTAGTTAATTAGATTTCTTAATTTATTAGTTACTTAGTAATGTGTTGCATAAGCAGTAAACGTTGTAGTCTCTTAAATCAGTTACTATCAATCCTGTAATCTAAAGAGGAACAGTGGGACTGGAACTAACAAATACATAGTAAAAAAGTATCCCACAAAGTAATAAATTACATAGGCAACAGCCTGAAATTACGACATGAAACTGAAAGGCGCATCATATTAAGCTGAGGAAAGAAAAATCACATATTAAAATCAGGTCTAGCTTGCTAGGCAACAACACAGCAGAAAAGTTTATGGGTATTAACATTGGATCACAAACTAAAAAGACTCTGATGGCATTGCAAGAGGACATAAAACCTGTAACAGATTTTTTTTTCTTTTTAAAAAGACAAAAGCATTGTATGCATGTGACATTAAAAGGAATTAATCTATGCTATTTGGCTCAAATGAAGTCTCACCTAAGATACTATAACGCAGTTTGGGACAGGACACTTTAAAAATAATTTAGGCAAAAGGCAACCCAGAAGAGATGAGAAAAATAGTAAGAGGTTTAGAAAACATAAATCCAGGCCCTTCAGATTTTTTTGCGAGTTATTTAGTCAAGAAGAGACTTTTTGTAAAGCATTATGGTTTTGCAAGTTGTAAGAGTAATGCTGTTACTGCATGGTTTACAGGTAAACATCCTTTATTAGCCCATTTAACGTATGGAAGGGGGAGGAGTTTGTAGGCAAACTTTGTAGGAGTTTGGGCATCTTGCCTTCTCCTTACCTCAGCTAAGTAAGTTTGGCTACTAAAGGGTTATTCTTCTAACCCATGATGAGCAGTAAGCCTCCTCCAGATATGGTACTAGTGAAAATGGGATTCCAGCTTTTGGTGTCTGTGCTGGTGACGTCAAGGGACCTGACACAAGCAGTGGTAAGAACTTGTATTTGCGAATCCAGCACATTGATGCTGACAGGCAGGACCACGCTTGTTGCCAGTGGGAATTTGAGGACTATTAATCTATTTCTTTTCACCATTTTTCACCACTCTGTCGTGGGGCATAGTGAAAATCTCTCTGGAAATGTTTCATTGCTATCATTATGAGAAAATTCTGAGCCTTTTATCCTGGCCTTGGATAACATCCGTATACTAGAAACACATGGAATGAAGCACATTGGAAGGGACCTCTTGAAGATCAGCTGTTCCAACATAGACCAAGTTGCTTGGCGTCTTGTCTAGTCAAGTACTGAATTTTTCCAAGGGTGGCAATTCAACAACCTTTCTAGACAATCTATTGCAATGCTATACGCCCACACTGTCATCTTTTTTCCAAGGTAGCTAATTGGAATATCCCTCACAGCCAACTCGTTCTCTCTCATTTTCTCACCGTGGGCCTACCAGAAAACATTAGTTCCATTTCTCACATAACCTCCCATTAAGTAGTTAAAGACAACAATTAGATCTCTTATCTAATTAGATCCTAATCAGACCCTCCCTTTAACCTTCTCTTCTCCAGTCAGAAC